ACCCCTTTTGTTTTTTTTTCGTTTTTGGGCGAAAAATTAAGTTTCTCCAATCTTCTCAAAACTCTGGATTATGATAGAGGGCTGTGAGACTTTGACCTGAGTGCAAAAATGGAGGCTCTAGACCCTTCCAGAGCTGAGATATCGAAATTCAAAATTTCGACCCGAAAAAAAAACGACAGTGTTACCCCTTTGTTTTTTTAGTTTTTGGGCGAAAAATTAAGTTTCTCCAATCTTCTCAAAACTCTGGATTATGATAGAGGACCACGAGACTTTGACCTGAGTGCAAAAATGGAGGCTCTAGACCCTTCCAGAGCTGAGATATCAAATTTCAAAATTTCGACCCGAAAAAAAAACGACAGTGTTACCCCTTTCGTTTTTTTTCGTTTTTGGGCGAAAAATTAAGTTTCTCCAATCTTCTCAAAACTCTGGATTATGATAGAGGGCTGTGAGACTTTGACCTGAGTGCAAAAATGGAGGCTCTAGACCCTTCCAGAGCTGAGATATCGAAATTCAAAATTTCGACCCGAAAAAAAACGACAGTGTTACCCCTTTTGTTTTTTTTCGTTTTTGGGCGAAAAATTAAGTTTCTCCAATCTTCTCAAAACTCTGGATTATGATAGAGGGCTGTGAGACTTTGACCTGAGTGCAAAAATGGAGGCTCTAGACCCTTCCAGAGCTGAGATATCGAAATTCAAAATTTCGACCCGAAAAAAAAAACGACAGTGTTACCCCTTTTGTTTTTTGTAGTTTTTGGGCGAAAAATTAAGTTTCTCCAATCTTCTCAAAACTCTGGATTCTGATAGAGGACCACGAGACTTTGACCTGAGTGCAAAAATGGAGGCTCTAGACCCTTCCAGAGCTGAGATATCAAATTTCAAAATTTCGACCCGAAAAAAAAAACGACAGTGTTACCCCTTTCGTTTTTTTCCGTTTTTGGGCGAAAAATTAAGTTTCTCCAATCTTCTCAAAACTCTGGATTATGATAGAGGGCTGTGAGACTTTGACCTGAGTGCAAAAATGGAGGCTCTAGACCCTTCCAGAGCTGAGATATCGAAATTCAAAATTTCGACCCGAAAAAAAAACGACAGTGTTACCCCTTTTTTTTTTTTTCGTTTTTGGGCGAAAAATTAAGTTTCTCCAATCTTCTCAAAACTCTGGATTATGATAGAGGGCTGTGAGACTTTGACCTGAGTGCAAAAATGGAGGCTCTAGACCCTTCCAGAGCTGAGATATCGAAATTCAAAATTTCGACCCGAAAAAAAAACGACAGTGTTACCCCTTTTGTTTTTTTCGTTTTTGGGCGAAAAATTAAGTTTCTCCAATCTTCTCAAAACTCTGGATTATGATAGAGGGCTGTGAGACTTTGACCTGAGTGCAAAAATGGAGGCTCTAGACCCTTCCAGAGCTGAGATATCGAAATTCAAAATTTCGACCCGAAAAAAAAACGACAGTGTTACTTACCCCTTTCGTTTTTTTTCGTTTTTGGGCGAAAAATTAAGTTTCTCCAATCTTCTCAAAACTCTGGATTATGATAGAGGGCTGTGAGACTTTGACCTGAGTGCAAAAATGGAGGCTCTAGACCCTTCCAGAGCTGAGATATCGAAATTCAAAATTTCGACCCGAAAAAAAAACGACAGTGTTACCCCTTTTGTTTTTTTTCGTTTTTGGGCGAAAAATTAAGTTTCTCCAATCTTCTCAAAACTCTGGATTATGATAGAGGGCTGTGAGACTTTGACCTGAGTGCAAAAATGGAGGCTCTAGACCCTTCCAGAGCTGAGATATAGAAATTCAAAATTTCGACCCGAAAAAAAAACGACAGTGTTACCCCTTTTGTTTTTTGTCGTTTTTGGGCGAAAAATTAAGTTTCTCCAATCTTCTCAAAACTCTGGATTCTGATAGAGGGCCATGAGACTTTGACCTGAGTGCAAAAATGGAGGCTCTAGACCCTTCCAGAGCTGAGATATCAAATTTCAAAATTTCGACCCGAAAAAAAAACGACAGTGTTACCCCTTTCGTTTTTTTTTTCGTTTTTGGGCGAAAAATTAAGTTTCTCCAATCTTCTCAAAACTCTGGATTATGATAGAGGGCTGTGAGACTTTGACCTGAGTGCAAAAATGGAGGCTCTAGACCCTTCCAGAGCTGAGATATCGAAATTCAAAATTTCGACCCGAAAAAAAAACGACAGTGTTACCCCTTTCGTTTTTTTCCGTTTTCGGGCGAAAAATTAAGTTTCTCCAATCTTCTCAAAACTCTGGATTCTGATAGAGGGCCATGGGACTTTGACCTGAGTGCAAAAATGGAGGCTCTAGACCCTTCCAGAGCTGAGATATCAAATTTCAAAATTTCGACCCGAAAAAAAAAACGAAAGTGTTACCCCTTTCGTTTTTTTTCGTTTTTGGGCGAAAAATTAAGTTTCTCCAATCTTCTCAAAACTCTGGATTATGATAGAGGGCCACGAGACTTTGACCTGAGTGCAAAAATGGAGGCTCTAGACCCTTCCAGAGCTGAGATATCGAAATTCAAAATTTCGACCCGAAAAAAAAAACGACAGTGTTACCCCTTTTGTTTTTTTCCGTTTTCGGGCGAAAAATTAAGTTTCTCCAATCTTCTCAAAACTCTGGATTCTGATAGAGGGCCATGAGACTTTGACCTGAGTGCAAAAATGGAAGCTCTAGACCCTTCCAGAGCTGAGATATCAAATTTCAAAATTTCGACCCGAAAAAAAAAACGACAGTGTTACCCCTTTCATTTTTTTTCGTTTTTGGGCGAAAAATTAAGTTTCTCCAATCTTCTCAAAACTCTGGATTATGATAGAGGGCTGTGAGACTTTGACCTGAGTGCAAAAATGGAGGCTCTAGACCCTTCCAGAGCTGAGATATCGAAATTCAAAATTTCGACCCGAAAAAAAAACGACAGTGTTACCCCTTTTGTTTTTTGTCGTTTTTGGACGAAAAATTAAGTTTCTCCAATCTTCTCAAAACTCTGGATTATGATAGAGGGCTGTGAGACTTTGACCTGAGTGCAAAAATGGAGGCTCTAGACCCTTCCAGAGCTGAGATATCAAAATTCAAAATTTCGACCCGAAAAAAACGACAGTGTTACCCCTTTCGTTTTTTTTTCGTTTTTGGGCAAAAAATTAAGTTTCTCCAATCTTCTCAAAACTCTGGATTATGATAGAGGGCTGTGAGACTTTGACCTGAGTGCAAAAATGGAGGTTCTAGACCCTTCCAGAGCTGAGATATCAAAATTCAAAATTTCGACCCAAAAAAAAACAAACCGACAGTGTTACCCCTTTCGTTTTTTTCCGTTTTCGGGCGAAAAATTAAGTTTCTCCAATCTTCTCAAAACTCTAGATTCTGATAGAGGGCCACGAGACTTTGACCTGAGTGCAAAAATGGAGGCTCTAGACCCTTCCAGAGCTCAGATATCGAAATTCAAAATTTCGACCCGAAAAAAAAAACGACAGTGTTACCCCTTTTGTTTTTTCCGTTTTCGGGCGAAAATTAAGTTTCTCCAATCTTCTCAAAACTCTCGATTATGATAGAGGGCCACGAGACTTTGACCTGAGTGCAAAAATGGAGGCTCTAGACCCTTCCAGAGCTGAGATATCGAAATTCAAAATTTTGACCCGAAAAAAAAACCGACAGTGTTACCCCTTTCGTTTTTTGTAGTTTTCGGGTGAAAAATTAAGTTTCTCCAATCTTCTCAAAACTCCGGATTCTGATAGAGGGCCACGAGACTTTGACCTGAGTGCAAAAATGGAGGCTCTAGACCCTTCCAGAGCTGAGATATCAAAATTCAAAATTTCGACCCGGGAGAAAAAAACGAAAGGGGTACCACTGTCGTTTTTTTTTGTTTTTTTTTTGGGTCAAAATTTTGAGTTTCTCTGATCTTCTTGAAACTCAGGATTCTGATAGAGGGACATGGGACTTAGACCTGAGTGCAAAAATGGAGGCTCTAGACCCTTCCAGAGCTGAGATATTGAGATACCACATAGCATTTATGCCATTATAAATATCTCAATATCTCAGCTCTGGAAGGGTCTAGAGCCTCCATTTTTGCACTCAGGTCTAAGTCCCATGGCCGTCTATCAGAATCCAGAGTTTCAAGAAGTTCAGAAAAACAAAAATCATACGTTTTAATAAAAGATACATTCAAAAGGTTGGCGTCCGTCTAACTTTTTACAGGAAATTAAAGCTGTTATTTTGAAAGAATGCATTAAATTGATCAAAAGTGGCATATTAATGAAAATATTCTACTTATTTCTACAAAATATTTATTTTTATGAGCTTTCAATCCATCAAGGAATCTTGGAAAACTATATCACAGTTTCCACAAAAACTTTAATTTTATTTATTTATTTATTTATTTATTTATTTATTTGATAGGGACAATGCACATTAATGAACTTCTGAATTGAGACAACAAAACAGACGTAAACATGCCGGATTATAGCCACAGGGCTAATTTACATCCGTAGTCCCTAGACAAATAACAAAAAATACAAAGATTACAACAAACAAAATAACAACAAAAACAAAATAAACAAAACAAAAAAACGAAATAAAAATTACAAGCCAGAATCAACAACAAAAAACACAGACAACACTTAGTGGTCAAGTGGTTAAGAATCTTAGTGGTTAAGAATCATAACTGTTTTCAACTTTGATAATCGGAAATGATTTTTGGAAGATCACTGAAGACTGGAGTAATGCTGCTGAAAAAATCAGCATTGATCACAGGAATCAATTAAATTTTACAATATATTCACATAGAAAATAGTTATTTTGAATTGTAATAATAGCTCAGCATTGCTGTTTTAACTGCAGTTGTGGTAAGCAGAAGAGACTTCTTTTAAAAACATAAATTAAATAAATAAATAAATAAATAAATAAATAAATGGTAGTGCATATTAGGATTAATTCAGATTTTTTTAAAAACTATTTTGGTTCTAAAAGGGACTTTTTTTATTCTTGGTGACTAAATATTTGAATCAAACCTTTTTTTTTTTTTTTTGGCTTTAGCAACAAAACACATTGCCTGTTCTCATCCTTCCATACGGTCTCCAAGCATGAGTGTCTATCTTTCTCCGACTCCTGAAAACAACAGGTGCAGTGGCTCCAGTGGAGGATCCAGATTCGTCTCTGGTGTGTGTGGGCCGTGGAGGACTCATCTGGAGATCCAGCCTGGACGGGGGGAGACAGTAAGAGCCACAGTTCTCTCGTCGGGACTCTCGCACGCTTATTAACTTCAATCCAGCAGCACGGGTGCAGCAAAACTCATGCCAAATCACTCAAAACATCCCCTTTGTCTTGCTTGCCATGTTTCCCTAGTCCACTTTGTCTTGCTTTCTAAATGAAAAAAATACAAAAAACAAGGAAAAAATTCAACACATGAATTGCCATTTGCAATCAATTTGTCTATGTAATGTGAAGGTAAAATAGAAAATATAGGACTTTAGTTTACACTTTATTTTAAGGTGTCATTGTAACAGTATAAGTGCTATATTAAGCAACTACATGTACTTACTATAGGGTTAGGATAGTATTAGGATTTGGTTGAGGGTTAGTTGCATGTAATTATGAATAATGTACTATTATTTCTATGGTAAGTACATGTAACATATGTAAAAAAGGACACTGTAAAATAAAGTGTTCCCGCACTTTATTTTACAGTCCTGTTCCCCACAATCTAAAAATGCTGGGTTGTTTTAACCCAATTTCTGGGTAAAATATGGACAAACCCAGCCATTGGGTTAGAAATGTAAATTAAAAATGTAACCCAATGGCTGGGCTGTCCATATTTTACCCAAAATTGGGTTAAAACAACCAAGCATTTATTAGAGTGCATGTAGCCTACACTTACTATAGTAATTACAATAACTGGATAATGCACTCTAAAAAATGCTGGGTTGTTACAACCAAAATTTGGGTCATATATGGACAAAACCAAATGTTGGGTTAAAAATGTGATTCAAAAAATTACAGTTGAAAGTGAAAGTTGGGTTAAAATTTTTAACCCAATATTTGGGTTTGTCCATATTTTGCCCAAATTTGGGTTCAAACAAGCCAGCATTGTTTAGAGTGTAGTATTAACCCTGAACATTCCCCTAAACCCAAGCCATGTTAACCTTAAATGACCCAGAACCCTCTTGCACTCAAAACAATGCTGGGTCGTTTGAACCCAAATATGGGTAAAAAATGGACAAACCCAAATGTTGGGTTAAAAATGCAATTTCCAATTTTAACCCAACTTCAACTTTCACTTTCAATTGTACTTTTTTTTTTAAATTGCATTTTAACCCAACATTTGGGTTTGTCCATATTTGACCCATATTTGGGTTCAAACGACCCAGCATTGTTTAGATAGTTGGTAGGTGCACATACTGTAAAATAAAGTGCAACTCTTTTATCTATTGGGAATTGATTGTAAAAAGTGAGAGGTACTAAAAGAAGAGGGCATCAATATAGGGAAGTTGTTTCAGAGGCAGTAATACATTTTGTTGCTTTTCAATAACATGTACAAAAAGATCAAGAGTGTGCATAAAAAAAATTTAATAAAAACGAAAGATTTTTTCTTTGCACATCTATATTACCATTCTGTGTCCTGGTACATTAGCTGACCATCGGTGCGGTGGGATTTTGGAGCCCCTATTCTGTGCCCCCTCCATCTCCCTGATGAATATTCAGGACTCTATCGCCTTTTCACAGCAATAATAGGCCAGCCATTGCCGGCCTGCCTTTGGGGGAAAGACTCCACGAGAAGCAGATTATTTCAACCTGTGTGTGAAAGAGGCTCATTCTTCCTTAAGCCGCCTTCCAAAGGATGAAATCTTACTTGCAAAACTCCTGTTGCCGCCCCGGAGCAGCGAGCGAGACGACGGTTTACAGGTGGCCTCCGCCTTTCTGAGACGAGATACCCAAACCCCTGCAGCCCTCCATCATCACCGTCATCCTCAACTCCCAAACTGTCCCGGAACGTGCTGGATTCGTCTTGGGCTGTTTTGTCCAAACTGGCGGCGCAGATGGGATAATGACTTTTACAAACAGCATTCTGATGAGAGGAGGGGAAAAGGAACGGTATGTAAAATGCACAAAGGCCTCCATAAGCACATCGGGCTCTGCATCTGGAACAAACTAAAAAGATGTTTAATAATTTAGAAGCAAGCAGGCAGGCCTGGTGCAGCTGTTGTGTGCAGACGAGCATGAAAGGCGTCTATGTGGCAGCTGGCTCGTGCCTCTCCCCTGGTTTCGGTGTGGTGAGGAGACGGCAGATTTGGGATTAGTCAATCCCTGATACTCCTGCCCATCTGCCACCAAGACCCCTCCGCTAACTCGCTCCTACAAAAGATGGAGAGAGAGAGAGACAGGAAAGAGAGAGGCAGTGCACCGTACACATTGTTATAAAACGGTCCCGGATGCTGATTGGTCAATACAGCGTTCCTGCATGCTAAATGACACAATATAGTAATGGTTGTGATGCAAAACACCTGTTCAACCATCACTGCGCTGCTCGTTATGTGTGGAATTAATAAAATGTTTTAAAAATCTGGACTTTATTATTTTGAATACATTTGAAATGTTACGTTAAAGTGAACAAGGCACTTTAATTCGTTTTATTCTTTATGGAAACTGTGATACTGACCCTAAACTTTTTAGTGATTGTGCAAGATTTTTTTTATTTTTTTTTTAAATGTAATACTTTAATTCAGCAAGGACACATTAAATTAATCAAAAGTGACAGTAAAGATCTGTTTTAAAAAAGTTCTAATAATTAAAAAATAACTTTTTTTATACTTGAGCACCAATAGCCTAATATTTCATCATAATTGAGCAGCAAATCAGCATATTAGAATGATTTCTGAAGCTTTGAGATTGCTGAAAATTAATTAAAATTAGAAAAAACATTTTATTTCTCAATATCACTGTAGTTACTGTATTTTTGATCAAATAAATGCAGCCTTTGGAGCATAAGAGATTTCTTAAACACACACACACACATTTTATATATATATATATATATATATATACACACATATATATAATCTAAACACATATATATATAATCTAAACACACTCTAAAAATGCTGGGTTGTTTTACCCCAATTTTGGGTCAAACATGGAGAAACTCAAACATTGGGTTAAAAATGTCATTTAAAAATGTAACCCAATGGCTGGGTTTGTCATATTTGACCCAAAATTGGATTAAAACAACCCAGCAATTTTTAGAGTGTATATATATATATATATATATATATATATATGTGTGTGTGTGTGTCCAGACATTTGACTAGTAGTGTAAATTGTGAAGATCATAATCCTCTCTTAAAGCACATGCACATATTCATGTGTACTCACACACACACACAGACAGACAGACACACACACACACACACCCCAGAACACATGATCGGCCCCTTCACCCGAGCGCATGTTTTGTTGACATGTGGCAAGAGCTGCGGCGCTATCATTCCGTCGCTCCAGGGCACGTTTTGCACTCCACACATTTCCACGAATACAACATGTCGCTGGCCACAAACAATGCTCGGGTCTAATTGGCCGAATTAACCAAGTCTTGTCTCTCGTCGCCATACTGATTAGCAAAGCTCAGCTGGGACGGTTGGAGGGGTTGGAAAGCCGGGGGGAGGATTGTGGGATTTGTGATGGCAGGGGATTGGGAAAGGGAGGGGGCAGGTGAAGCAGCGCTTGCCCATGAAAGAGAAGCGGTCCTGGGTAGAGCCCCAGCTGGGCCCCCCGTCTCCGAGTGCCAGGAAGATCACGGATAGCAGCGAGAGGGGGGAGATCTGTTGCATTTTGTGCCTCTTTTCTGCTTTGTCCTAAAACACATACAACCTAAAACACATTTGCTTTGCATTTTGCCACAAATTGATAGCATTATAATTGCTTAAGCCTGCTAAAGATCACTATTAAAGCATCTTTAAAATTAAATAAATACATAACAACAATACTAATAATATAAATCTATTAACACTATAACAATGAATACTATTATTATTAAAATACTACAATAAATGGTATTCTTACATTCAACATGTCTTACAATTGCCATTGTAAGCAACATAAAACAAACAGGTTTAACAATAAAACATAAGACACAAAATAAAAATGCTTGGTTGTTTTAACCCAACTTTGGGTCAAATATGGACAAACCCAGCCATTGGGTTAATTTTTTTTAACCCAACGTTTGGGTTTGTCCACATTTGACCCAAAATTGGGTTGAAACAACCCAGCATTTTACAAATCTCAATGCTAATCTAGTTTTGATTAATCATTTTACATTTATTTCACTTTGTTAATATTCTACTAGCTTAATTTGCACTAAAAAATTTTATTGGAAATCTAATATTAATACACAGGATGTGAATGACACTTTCAAATTTATCATGGCAATTTAAAGGGCCATTTCAGGCCAATGAATCAAATCTACTGTAAAATGCATAAAAGTTATCTAAAAAAAATTTTGCTGATCATGTGGTGTATTTTTGGGAAGCCCTTTAACCAGCCAGTGCTCCGGGGAGATATTAAAAAATGAGTCTCTAGTATTGGGTAGTAGATTAAACCTCGGCTCCAACAAAAAGAGGAATGGAGAACAAACCTTCCCCCTGTAATTTCTCCCAGGTGACTTTACCGAGGGAATATGTGTTCAAGGTTGTGGGACAAGGTCCTCCTGATAGTGACAAAGCACAAAGACGGGAGTTTATTCCACCTCAATATGGTCTGTGATCTCAGAGGAGATCTCCCAGCTGTCCAATAGCTCGCCGTTGACTCCTTTACCCGAGTCCCACGTCGCGCTCCTATAAGATCAATCTCGGTATCTCTTCCGCTTTTAAGGCGCGACTACAGCCAACAGTCGGAAGCGCATTAAGTATTTTCCTCTCCGTCTCGCTCCCATAAGGCCGCAAACAACAAACTCCCAGAGTTGGGATGACGGGGAGGAGGCAGATATTCAAGCTGTACTTAATTCTTCACTCGCCCAGAGCCATACGACTACCCCGCGTGTGACGCTCCTGATGTACTTTTGCACGATTAAAACACATTTCTGATACAGTTAAGTTTCAGACGGCTGTCATTAATTATATTTTACTTAATTCCCAAGCCTTCTCCCTCTGTTCCTTTTCATTTATACTCTTTTTTTCTTCCCTTAACCCGCCTTGCGTTTTGGGAGCGTCCAACGCCGTCCTACTTAGCTTTTCTTTGTCTTGTCTGTGATCTTCAAATGGGAGGCATCACCGCTGATCAATCGTCCACGTTTCTCCCAGCACCTCTGTTTAAACCTGGGAAATCACTCGTCACTGGTGGAAAAAAAAGTAATTATATTCCCCGTAGAGCGGCTCTGTGCGTACTATGATCAGGGATCTGTCTTGAGATGTGGCGTTGGGAAAACTGATCTGATGGTGTTCTGATCTACTCTGCTTCTCTGAGGTTTTTTCCAGTTTTGTTTTTCTCAACAGCACAAACAGATGCAAAGTGGAACTTATATTGCTTGTACTTTTTCCAAACTTTTTTTTGTGCAAAATACAATATCCTCTTTCTTTCCTTGAGTTTCATGCTAACTGTACGTTCTCACCGCCGCCGACTTCAGCTTCCAAAGTGTCCGGAAGTCATTCATTTTCAATGGAAGCTGGCGTTTCTTACCTGCAATGAGCGTCAAATCCATCGGCGTCGCGTTTTGGGCGTTTTGAGCATCAATCAGAAAGTTGAAAGAAGCTCAACTTTATGGTAATGAGCTGTGACGCGGTTCAGCGGCAAAACGCCCGCAACCAATTGGAATATAGACGTCCTTCGCGCTGGCTGATTCCGGACAAATATACAATGTAAATTTTCGTTTCTGAGAAAATGGAAGAGAAGCTAATAATCGCCGTTTCCTATCATTTATGACATGACGTTGTTTGCTTATAGGGACCGCATGAGCGCAACTTTTATTTGAAAGATTTACGCTCGTTTTAAAGCGGGAATGCAATTCATTAGGTGACACCGATTTGACCGCAAATAATAATAATATTAGCTAACTTTTTTTTTCCCCGACCAAATGTGACCAAAACGGTTATAAAAATGCTGTCATAATAAAAGGTTTCTTCAATGTATTGCTTGTTTTTTTTCTGTTTATTACATTTCATGTTGTTGTGACACTTCGTTTGTGAGCGTTCAAAGCGTCCAAAGTGTCAACAAGTCTACCCGTACTTTTGACAAGCGTCGACGGCGGCGTGAACGTACAGTTAGGCATTGCATTCTCATGCATATGCTAATTTTTTTAAGTGATATGTATCTGCGTCATTCAAAATAGAATCAAATAAATTAGTGATTACTGCACTCTAAATATTGCTGGGTTGTTTTGACCCAACTTTGGGTCAAATATGGACAAACCCAGCCATTGGGTTACACTTTTTAATTACATTTTTAACCCAATGTTGGGTTAAAACAAGCCAGCATTTTTAGAGTGTGTAATTGTTATAGGTTCACACAAGAAAAAGAAAAAAAAAAGAAGAAAATTCCTACCTTATTTAATTTGTCAAACTGGCATGATTTACTTTTTTTCCATGGAAGACAAAAGACATTTTGAAAAAAATAAAAATAAATAAATACTGGTTATTCCATGCAAATTAGAATAAATAAGCACAGGAGTTTTTAACTTTTCAAAAGGATGCAATAGCACCAAAAATGCCACATCCTTTTATTTCTATTCCTCAAATACATGTTCCATGCTCACCATTGTCATGTAATTGTGCAATTTAAGAGATGGTCCTCCATTGACATAAAGTCAAATACAATAGTGATTACGCCCTGAAAATTCTGTCCTTATTTATTGTCAATCACATTTTTTCTTTGGATGACAGAATGAGAAATGTAGAATAATTGTTTCTACAATTTCTTTTCAGGAGATTTCAAAAAGTCTTAAAAAGCACGAAAAGATCATAAAAGTAGTCCATATGACAAATTTTCTCTTCAGCCTAGACTGAAAGATCCATTCAATGAAACGAAGCAGAGTTTAACAACTCACTGGAGGGACAGAAGTGAAAAAGTTATAGGATATGAACACATAATAACATTTAGAAGCAAATTATAACTTTATAAAGGAAGTTTTTTTCTTGCAAAATGCAATATTAAAACAGTAACCACAGAATCATTGTTCCTCACGGACCATCTAACCTCTGCCTCTCTCTCTCACACACACACACACGCACACCTCTTATGCCCCGGAGCCTCTCGGTCTGACTAAAGTGACACGGGGGGCTGCAGTGCTGCCGCGGGATACGCAGGGCTCAAGGTGACCAGTGGGTTCTTTCATCAGCATCACGGATCGATACGGATTGGAACAGAGAGCCCTTCCGTGTCCCAGAGGACCCGTCTCCAGCGTCCAGCTGGGGGCGAGCCCTGAGCCAGGCAGTATAAGGGCTTACGCTGAAATCACACCACCCGTCCTGACAGATACAGAGAGGATAATCAGACACAATCAGACACTCAGTGTGATCAGCCATATATCACAACATCACTATTAAAGCAATAATCCACTTTGAAATTAATTTTTGGTATGTTTTAGCTTACCTCAAGGGCATCCAAGATGTAGGTGTCTTAGTTTCCGCAGTAGTTTCAATTTTGATATTTTTAGGTCAAACCATTCTTGTCTGTCAGTCATATAATGCAGGTCTATGGTCACCACCTCAAAGAGCATGCACAGAGAAGTCCAAATTAAACATGATTTAATGACTCGTAAATGTAAGTACACATTGATGGTCTAAAACACGAAACGACTTCTCTGTGCATGCTCTTTGAGGTGGTGACCATAGATCTCCATTATACAGTATAACTGACCAATATATAGCTGAAAATTTCAAAATTGAAACTACTGTGGAAACAAAGACACCTACATCTTGGATGCCCTTGAGGTAAGCTAAAACATACCAAAAATTTATTTCAAAGTGAACTATCCCTTTAAAGCAATAATTCACTTACAAATCAAAATCATTTACCACCGCAAATGATGTGCCAATTCTACATGCTGTTATTTTTTATATTATTTTCCAAACAGTACATAGTAACACTTTACAATAAGTTTGCACGAACAATACATTTGTTCCAATATCTTTTTTAAATGTTTGTTAACTATTAGTGTTAGCACAGGTCCATTTTAATTGAATAATTTATTACAAACATTACCTCAGATTAAAATTATTTTTCATTATTTTGTCAATTTAACTAATGCTAACAAATGGAACCTTATTAAATACGTTTTAAAATCAGGATGCAAGAACATAAAATATTTCAGAGATTTAACAGAGAAATTCAAATGACTTAAATTTGGGTTACTAGTATGTTGTGATGACCACGAATTGTTGTTTGATTTTATTCAGATTTTAGATTTTATTCATTTAGCTGACACTTTTATCCAAAGCGACTTACAATTGCTATATTTGTCAGAGGTTGCACGCCTCTGGAGCAACTAACACAACATGGTCTATAATGTGTGGTTCTTTTTTATTATTATTCCTCTAAAGCTGCATGTTAATGTTACAACCGTAAGCTTGAACTTTCCATCTAATATTAAAGGTTGGGCATTATTTGACCTGATCATGATTTCAGGTATCCCACAATGCACTATTGCAGACATTTTTATCCTCTGCGTCCCATAATCCCAGACCAGGATGTTCCTATAAAAGATTTCCTGCTGTGCACAATAATCGTACATTCATAAATGCGGATCCTAATTAGTCTGCGCTAAAGATGTTCCCTTTAAGAGAAAAAGAATTTTCCCTTAAATTGATCACTTGAGGAAATCAGACTGTACCCCCTTCTCTGTGTCATCCATCCGCACCCCGTTGCCCCCCTGAACCCCACCCTTTCGCTCTCCTACCGCATACAAGGCAATTACGGGCGGCGACATTGTGCGACGCTGCGTTCGGGTTGCAGCTGGACAGATATTTGAAACAAGTCAGTGTTTAATTAGGTTACACAGTCATTTCCTACCCTGCAAATTAAAGCCCCAGAACCTCACACAATTAATCTGCGTCTGCAGGTCCCGTGCGGTTCCCCTGGAGAACCCGCTCCGGTTCTTCAGATCTGACCCTCTGGGCCCTCGCTGCCACGGGGAGAAAAGCAATTATAAAAACAGCCCTCACTCTAATCGGCACAAACTCTTGCACATGCACAGTTATTGATATTCTGGAAAAAAGGGAAGTTAATTTAGCTCCTGACTTTTAATTGCTAAAACAGTTTTGTTGTTTGTTACAGTACCAAATACAGCCTTGACAGCATAATACTCCTGTGTATTTAACGGCGGCTATTAGCTTGATGTACTGTAAGGTTGGAGATATCACTTTGCTACATGAAATGTTAAAACCCTTTTGTGTGAGCCAAAAACAAAAATAGTAATTAAAAATGCCCTTCACATGTTAAATAGTCATAGCCCAATTTCAAACCTCCCAAAGCAACTATTGGACAACATAAACCTATATGACAAAAAAATCTGCAACATTAGAAGTTATCTCAGTATAATTACATTGCACGTCCCGAGTAATATTGTTTTGTGCGACAGCATATAATTAAACTATATCTGACCAGCAATTTTAAATAGAGGTGTTAAAGCATCACTATTAAAGTCACAGATGTTGGTCTGAACAAACCCCAAACACTAAGTATTACACTTTGGTTTTACTCGTTCTGTGCTGGTTAAGCCACAGACATGAGTGATTCCTCGAACTATAATTTGAGATAAACCATATGAAAATAGGTAAACAGATCCATAGACTATTAAAAAAAGAGTATCAATGCCATGACAATGTGATAATACACAATGTATAGACCTACACTCATGTCACACACACACATATCAACACTAGCAGTACCACTGCAACAATCCTAGCAACCTAGCAACACCCTGGCAATCACTGACAACATCCTAGAATCCACCTAATAATTGCAAAGCAAAACCCTAGCAACCATAGACAACCCCTTTAACATCCACCTAGCAACAACCTGGCAATTATTGACAACATCTTAGAACCAGCCTAACAATTGCATAGCAACACAGTGGTAATCATCCAAAACATCATAGCATCCACCCAGCAATTGCATAGCAACACCCTAGCACCCACCTACAACATTGCAACATCCAATCTGCAACTTCATAGTGGCATCCTAGCAACCATCCACAACACCTTATCATCCACCCTAATAATTGCATAGCGACCCCTTAGCAGCCAACCACCCACAGCATTCTAGCATTCAGCTTGGAACAGCATGGTGCCATTTTAACAACAATCAACAACACCCTAGCATCCACCTAGTAACTGCATAGCAACACCTTAGAATCCACCAAGCAACCAACCACAACATTGCAGCATCCACCTTGCAACTTCAGTGGCATCCTAGCAACAGTCAAAAGCACCCTGGCATCCACCTAGCAACTGCACAGCAACACCCTAGCAACCACCCACAACACTTTAGCATCCATCTAGTAACTGCATATAGCAACACACTGGCATTTTTCAGTATGATATGCACCACTCATGATTTCTTAAGAATATATAAAATGTAGTCAGTATGTTTGTAGATGATTATAACAAGGGCACTAAATGATTAAATCCATTCAATGGTCAGTGGACTTCACGGTGAGAGACTTGGCAAGGTGGTCAGGTGGGATGCTTTTTTTTCTTTTTTTAAATAGAAAGTTTTTGTGTGGCAAAGTGGAACACACAAGACGTACACGGAAAGAGAACAAGAAAAAGCCATTTGACCACACGCCATGCCCATGTCCCATTTTTGTAGATAATTTCCCCTAGAGTCAAATTTAATTGCTGCTTGAGTGCCCTCAATCTTTAAACATTCTCCATCATTCTCTGCGTCATTTATTTTTCAGGATGACAAAGGAACGGCTAAAAAAAGGCATGCAAACAGAAAATACCTCACCTTTAACGATCGAGACCGCATGACAGGTAACGACACATTTAAAGACCTGTTTAAGAAGGCCTGTCCTCATTCGTTTTAGCACATTAAAACCGAGCTTAGGGCAGCAGAACGGGGATTTGCATTCTCTTCAGAAGCTGACTTTGCAAGTGTGTTTGTCTACAAAGCAGTTTAAAATGAAGCTATACATGATTCATGTTGGCTGCTTTCAAGTTGCTTCTCGCTCCAGAACAGGACTTCACATTACTGTAGGCTAATTATTTGAAGCTGACTTGGGCAGGAGAGACAGGTTGTCTGGGATGGAAAACATGTGAAAGTGGAGGGAATACTAAATAAGAACACAGGAAGAGATGGTGTGATGGCGGACCACTCATAGCTGCTGGGACGTATTGCTTAACTTCTTTGACAAGCTATCCAATGCAAAGAAACTTGTATTGTACCTTTTTTTGCAATGGATGAGATGGAAATCCAGCAGGTAGGTAAGTAGGTTGGTAGTATCAGACAAAGGATGGATTCCAGTAATCCAACAAACGATTGGTAGTTGATTGAAGAAAGGTGGTTAAAAGGCACAACTTAAATGTCAAATCTAATGTCCAAGTAGAGTTCAATTGTGATTCCAAAGTATTTTGATGGTGTTTCGGTAAAGAACTGTATGCTTGTACGTTCCAACAGCTTGTTTGTTCTGTTTTAAAAAGTGAGAGGCGGCCATCTTTTTATTTAAACATTCTCACCAACTGTCAAAATAAAAGTCCCTACAAAATAATGGATCCTAATTCTTTCCAGTGCTCCAATAGCTCAACAATTTAGACTAAACTAAACTCAAAATAGCTCCTACAGATGTGAAAGGCAAAACATGTTGGGGAACATCATATATGTGTTGGGCCACAAGTAACATGTTAGACACATTTAAAGGGTTAGTTCACCCAAAAATTAAAATTATGTCATTAATGACTCGTCGTTCCAAGCTCGTAAAACCTCCGTTCATCTTCGGAACACAGGTTAAGATATTTTAGATTTAGTCTGAGAGCTTTCTGTTCCTCCATTGAAAATGTATGTACCTTATACTGTCCTTGTCCATAAAGACAATACAGACATCATCAAAGTAGTCCATGTGACATGAGTGGGTTAGTTCGAATTTTTTGAAGCATCGAAAATACTTTTTGATCCAAACATAGCAAAAACAACGACTTTATTCAGCATTGTATTGTCTTCCGGTTCTGTTGTTATTGCTCGTTCACGATTCCAATGACGCTGCTGACGTGTTATCTTGTGCGCCTGAGCTTCGTTTACAGTCTGATGGAGACGCGCCCTGTATTCAAGCTGTTCTACATTGTTTGTATTTTGGTATTGCAATATTTTTTTAAAAAATGGTTCGTAAGTGTGCATGTCGCGGATGTCCTAACCGGGACATCAGCAGCGTCATTTTATGGTGTACGAGTTACAGTGTAATTATAAAAGCACCTACATGTTACTGTAGGGTTAGGTTAGGGTAGGATTTGTTTTAGGTTTAATTGCATGTAATTATGCATACTTTACTGTTAATACTATGGTAAGTACATGTAACATATGTAACAAGGACACTGTAAAATAAAGTGTTACCAAAAAACCTAATACAAAAAATGAAGAAACATTAATAAAATAATGATAATAGTAATAATACATTAAATCTGTCACACAGGGAATTGTGGGAATGTCAATTGAAATTTTTTTCACTGTAAATTTTACAATGATTTGTTCTTTTTCACTTCCAAAAACTGTAAATATAACGGTATTTTACAGTAAAATTAAACATTAAATGTAGGATTATATATATCACAGTTATTTACCATATATAGTAAGGAAACTAATTCGTTTTTCACTGTAGCATTTTTACAGTCTTTTACCGTTAAAATCATGATAATTTTTTACAATGCAGGTGCTACAGCCTAACAACAATCTAACAACGGTTGGGGAATATCTGTCATTTGCCTCCATCAAAGTGCCCGAGTTTGGTGGCGTCACACGGCTTTTGCTCATCACTTTGATTGTTTTCCTCGGACCACGTGGGATTTCAGAGACACTGCAGCTGAAGTTGGCTTTGAGACGCATGAAACATCTGAGCAGCAAACCCTGGTCCTTGCTGAGCAAATTAAAAATGTATTTGCGCTCCTCCTCCCGGCTGACTTTGGATCGCACGTGCCCACGTCCCACTGAACAGAAAATAATAATAATAAATATATATACGTACGTATATATGTTTGATAGTCACAAGAAGACTTTTCTTACTCGCTCATCAAGTGGAAAAATACATCCCGTCCTTGTTTTGATGTTCCGTCACCTTTGTTCTTGAGATGATGAGGTTAAGTTTCGGAGAGGAAGTCTCCACGCTCTGCCTCCAGTCTTTCCATTTGTCTTTCATTTTGATTTTATGACAGAATGGCGCACCGAGGGCATTGTTGGGGTACGGGGGATTGTCAGAAAGGAACTAAATGTATTTTTTGTTTTCATAATTAATTTAAAAGTTTCCATGCAAGTTTGTCATGAATAAAGGAGAAGAAACGGCAAAGTGATTCCGGGTTTTTGAGAGTGAACGCTACGATATGAAAGCTTTGTGTCAGAGAGGGGCTGAATTATTTATGCTTTGACAAGACAATGACATTATTTTGTCCCACATTTCTTTTAAAGGAGCAAAACTGTATGCATGTGAAACAGCGTTAGCTCAATACATCTTTCACTGGAGACAGAATCATGCAGAAGACTAAGGCCCGCTCCCTCACAAAGCCACTACAACGGGAGTCAAGGTCACAAAGTCAGAGGGATTGATTAAATGACATTCCAGAGCCAGACCATTAATCGTAAGTCATTCAAGATGGATTGAAAAATGGTAAGAAAGTGGATCTTGCTTTATCGCTACATGGTACCGGCACTGAATGACACTTTGTAGCACTTTATTTTACAGCCCTGTTTTGCATGAACATACCATGTACATTACTATAAAGACACTAACTGAGTAACTGAACCTACCCCTTCAAGTTATCTTACTCAGTCATTTTGTGGGTCATGCTGTAAAATAAAGTGCAACCACCACTTTTTCACTAGCTTTTGGTGCAGATCTGAGAATAAAAACAGGTTTCCAAACTTAGTTCATGCAAAATCAGATTATTTGGATTATTAAATAAAGGTCAAATTTACACTGTAGGTTTTGATACCCAATTCCGATTTGTTGACTTTACCTGAATATGTTTTTACGACCAGCTTACATCTTATTCAGTGACGTACGACTCACATTGACTGGGAAATATCCGATCTGTCTGTTAAAAATCTGTCAGATTTATTTCCACATATGAATGAGGCCTGAAACCGATCTGAGAATATCGAAATCCATGTGCTTTTTTCCTGCTTACATGTTCGTGGGTCATATGATCCGATCTGTGCCACATGGGAGGGAAATAATAATCAGAATTGGGTCACTTGAACCACAATGTATATGCGGCCAAAGAGAACAGCTCAGTCTTCACATCTCTTGCAATCCATTACATGTATAGCAGACAAATGAATGTTTTGATGGTAAAATTGACAAATACTCTAAGAACGGTTGGCCCTGAAAACTAGTATTCAAAATGATACTCACACTGATGGCTAGGTAAAATGTGATTGACTAAAGTTGAAAATTAAAGGGATAGTTCACTTTGAAATTAATTTTTGGTATGTTTTAGCTTACCTCATGAGCATCCAAGATGTAGTTGTCTTTGTTTCCGCAGTAGTCTCAATTTTGATATTTTTAGGTCAAACCGTTCTTGTCTGTCAGTCATATAATGCAGGTCTATGGTCACCACCTCAAAGAGCATGCACAGAGAAGTCCAAAATTAAACATGATTTAATGACTCATAAATGTAAGTACACATTAATGGCCTAAGACACGAAACGAGCGGCTTATGTGAGAAAACGAACAGTATTTATATCGTTTTACATCGTTTTAGGTAATAACAAGATTTTATAATAAATATACAAATACTGTATATTAATAAACAATATAATACCAAAAAATAATTTCAAAGTGAACTATCCCTTTAAGGGATACATTTAAATTGGCTATATACAATAGAGACAGTTAATCATAGTTTAAACTGCAATGTGAAAAAATTAACCTGTGGTTTAAAAACTGATCAATTATACAGTCGACCCTGAAGGTCACAATGGCTTCATATTACTTAAGAAAACGGCAACAAAATGCAGAATGGTAAAGCCGAAAATAAACTGTGTTTCTAAAGTGTATTTGTGTTCATGCAATCTTGCCATTGAGCGTGTAGCTGTTGAGGCCGTGTTCAGTATGCACATCCCGGCGATGAGGGGGGCAGCCGTGCCCTGTGGACAGATTAACAAGTGATTGTACTCGAGGGAATAAGACAAGGACACCAGACCGGCAACTTTGACTCAGCAGTGACAAGAGCTCAGCGGTGTCAAACACCCATCAGCCACGTGTGTGCGCTCTGATTTAAGACTGTAGCTGCGAGCGAGATCGGATGGGCGTGTGTGTGTGTGTGTGTGTTTGTATGATGGGGTTAGCAGATTTTCACATGATAAAGCATGAAGGTGAGGCAGGAGGCAGCCTGAAAGCCCCGAGCGCAAGTCTTTACCTCTGTTTGTTAAGAGTTTTAAGCAAAGATCCCACTGGCCATAAACTCCAGACCTATCAGGTAGAAATCCTGAGAGCCTGTGGATGCAGAAAAACCACAAAGCATCGTTAATGCAAATACCAAATGTCAAAGCCTGGCATTTGACAAAGAGTTTTGAACATAATGTGAAAACACAAGGTTTTGTTCTAAAGTGCAATTCAACAATATACAGAACCCAAATGCAGATCATAAATCTATCTATCTATCTATCTATCTATCTATCTATCTATCTATCTATCTATCTATCTATCTATCTATCTATCTATCTATCTATCTATCTATCTATCTATCCATCCAATCTACAGTATATATCTATCTACAGTATCAACACAGTATCTATCTATCTATCTATCTATCTATCTATCTATCTATCTATCTATCTATCTATCTATCTATCTATCTATCTATCTATCTATCATAATTATGAATAATACTTATACAGTTGGTGAAGACAGCACGAGGATCATGCTGATTGTGTTGCAATAAATTTAAGAGGACCATACTTGTTTCTGTTTAAAGGTGAAATGTGAAAAATTCTGCGCTATTAGCTTTACCAAATGAAACTGCAAAAATAAAGACATTTCCAAACCCATCACTGGTTACAGTCACAGAAAACTGTTTGTTAAACCAATAAACAGAGAAACTGGCATCTTGTCCGCAGTCATTACCTACTTTAGATACAACGATAAGACGAGGAGAAAATGGATGTTTCTTAAATGTTTTGCTAGGTTTACATATAGTTGTCGCCACATATTAAGCTTGGATATGAGAATATGTTTTAACTTATGAGATCCATTATCTGGACTGAAATCATGCTCTTTCTTAATCAGTCTAATGCTGCATTTAAGATATCTTAAGATATGTCATAGCTGTGTTGTATCAAACACACATGCTCATTGCCCACCAGTGTCCCTCCGCTAAGCTCATTCTAGTCTAATTAATTTGCTCTTATTAGCTAAATATGCTTTTGAAGGGCCGGTCTCTGAGTTGTGACACTATTTGCCCAATGGAGCTCCTGT